ATAGCCTCATGGAGGGTGGGGTGGGGTCGCTATAAGCATTAGGGAAGCATGTTGCCAAGTGTTTCTCGCGGCGAGTTGCTGAGTAGGGTAGAAGCACAGGGCACGGCTGTGCAAGGAAGTGGTGGTGGTGGCTAGGTGCTGTTCTGACTCATAGTGACTTTATGTGCAAGGGAGTGAAACACTGCCCCGTAGAGGGCATAAAATGACTTAGGTGTCGCTGTGTTTAAAAAAAGAAGGAAAAGGGTTTTGTGGGTTGTGTTTAGAGGTTTTACTTTATTTATCCTGAGGGCACAAAAGAATCATTAAAGGATTTTGAACAAGGATGACCCAGTCAATTTGATTTTAAAATCATTATCCTTAATTAATTTTGCTTCTTAATTCATTCAGCAGTTCCAGCCTGGTCAGTGTGATCATTCCGAAGACATTTGCAATTGTCTAGGCAAGAGAGCTGACCTGAACAAAAGCAGTGAGAATAGGAACAGAGGGGCGAGAATGACGCCAGCAACTTGGAGGGGCTAAAATAGGCAGGGATTGATTGGGAAATTGATTGTAGCTCTGAAGATTGGAATAGAGGAAGGAGCTAGGTTTGTTAATAGACCTGATCAAGCAACACGGGAAATTGGTGTGTTTATCTCCTTAAGTTTGGGAAAGAGAAGAGACTACTGCTCCATGTTGAGTCAAGAGAACAAAAGACAGGGAGTAAGAAGAGGGACCTTGTCCTCCAGGAGAGATGGGTAGATGAGCATATTCCATGTGTTGAAACTCCCTAGCCACAAAACTAGCAGTCTTCAAACTTCTTTTTTTAAATAATGAGATGATGTGATCAAGAGGTGTCGATGGGATCAGGTATCAGGCATCAAAGAACAAAATATCATATCATTGTGAATGATGGGGAGTGCAGAGTGGAGACCCAAAGCCCATCTGTAGGCAACTGGACATCCCCTTACGGAAGGGTCTCGGGGAGGAGACAAGCCAGTCAGGGTGCAGTGTAGCAACAATGAAACATACAACTCTCCTCTAGTTCTTAAATGCTTCTTCTCCCCCGACTATCATGACCCCTATTCTACCTTACAAATCTGACTAGACCAGAGCATGGACACTGGTACAGATAGGAACTGGAAGCACAGGGAATCCAAGACAGATGAACCCCTCGAGACCAGTGGTGAGAGGGGTGATACCGGGAGAGTTGGGGGGAGGTGGGGTAGAAAGGGGGAACCAATTATAAGTGTCTACATACAACCCGCTCCCAGGGGCACGAGCAACAGAAAAGTGGGTGAAGGGAGACATCGGACAGTATAAGACATGACGAAATAATAATAATTTATAAATTATCAAGGGTCCAAAAAAAAGTTATCAAGGGTTCATGGGCGGGGTGGGGGGGGTGAGCTGATACCAAGGACTCAAGTAGAAAGCAAATGTTTTGATGAGAGCAACAAATGTACAAATGTGCTTAACACAATGATGGATGTGATAAGAGTTGTACAAGCCCCCAATAAAATAATTTTTTAAATAATAATAAAAATAAATGAACTCCAAAGCTAAACTCAAAAAAAGAAAAATAATGAGATGAGCCCTTAAATACAGTCTCAACGTGCAAAAAGCCGGAGGTGGAGGGTCTGCCCATAGGACTCTGCAGGCCGTTTCAGCAGCATTGTTGTAGAGTGAAGGAGCCCTGGTGGCAGAGTAGGCTGCACAGTTCAGTGGTTTAAGACCACTAGCTGCTGCTCTGGAGAAAGAGGAGGCTCGCTGCTCCCTTCAAGATTCACAAGATTCACTGGAAAACACAGTGGAGCAGTTCTGCTCGCCCTTCAGGGTCACTATGAATCGAATTGGACTCTGTGGCCGTGGGTTGTGTTCTAGAGTGAACACAACTGAAGTTAACCCCACTTGCACTGTCCCAAGCCTTAGATAAAGGTTGACATTAGAGACCCTACAGTTCAGGGGCTCGGAGAACAATGCCTCGGGTTATGAAAATGCACCAGCTTTAAAAATGGTGTCCTCTTGAGGTGGGTTTGAGATGAAGAATGGTCAAATTGATGAGGTAGAATTATCTACTTCAGTCAACCCTAATTGTTCCACCAGAAACAGGAGTAGGGTGAATGGCAGTGGTCTTGTCTGGGAGGCCAGAAGCCTGAGGTCTGGTCCTGGCTCTGCTACTTGCTAGCCACGTGATCTTGGCACATCCCTGAACCTCATCTGCTTTGCTTTCCTCGGCTGTTAAATGAGGGCTGGGTGATCTCTGAGGTCCCATCCAGCTCTAAAATTCTATTAATGTGAAATAGCCAGCCTTTTGGAAAAGGGCTTTTGATAAAGATCCCGTCTCAGATTAATGCCTACTGTAAAAAATGACCTGAAAGTTCCCGGGGAAGGAGTAGAGGTGAAGCAGGCAATGATATTATAAAGTCATCTGTATTTTGTAACTAGACAGCCCACTCTCAGTAGTTTTTTGTGGGAATGTTCTATGATCTGGCGTTTGGTTTCGGTCATAAGAACACAGTGAATGATAAGGGCCTCTGACCAACTAATATGGCAGAAGGTACAGGAAGCAAAGGTTAAGAGCTGTTTGAGGTTATTCTTTTGTAAGGTTTCAAGGGTGTGTTAGGTCGGGTTGACTAGAGAAACAAATTCAGTGACCGCCCCCCCCCCCCATAATGTATAAGAGAGAGCTTTATATTAAGAAGTAATTCTATATCAACTAAACAGTCCAGCCCAGCCCAAATCAAGTCCATAAGACTTATACTAGTCCATAAGTCCCTTTTCAGACTCACACAGCCACATGCAGTGATGCAGAATGCAGGAACATCACTGACTGGTGGATACAGGGTCTTGTGAATCCAATGGTGATAGAAGCATCACTGGGCTCTTGCAGGTCTGAGCATGGCTCCAGGAGTTCTCTGAGGGACTCAACAGCAGAAGGTAAAGTCAGAGCTAGAGAGGGAGGTTCCCAGGACCCTCCTTATGAGGAGGTCACACCCACAAGGAGGCACCATCAGGCTGTGACCTGAGTGACAGGCTAGAATCTGTTCCCCTATACTTCAAGGTGACACGAAATTCTGTACCTGTCACAAAAGGTGTCTGTAGCTGTGTCCTGACCCCACCACTACTGCATAGAGGGGTCTGGTCACCATTTTCCTGCTACTGAGCGTCAGAGCAGGGCTTATTAGGTGGTCCCTCTGTGGCTTTGCTGGTGTGAGAATTGTCAATTGTCGCGCCAAGAAAAACTACCCTAAGACTGAAGGTCTTAATAACAACAAACATTTTATCACCTCACAGTTTTTCTGGGTCAGGAATTCTGGAGAAACTAGCAGGGTGGTTCTGGCTGCGGGGCGTACATGAGGTTGCAATGCTGTCTGCATTATCCTAAGGTTGAGAGGCACTTGAAGAGCCACTTTCAGCCCCACTCACATGTGTTGGCAGGAGACCTCAATTCCTTGCAACCTAGTGCTTGAGTGTCCTCACAACAGGTTAAGTGGCTTTCCTAGAGCAAATATTTCCAGAAAGGTGGCAAGACAGAAGCTCTTATGACCTTTAGTGGAAGTCATTCATCGTCCTGCCAGTCTGGTTTGTAGAAGCAGGTTCCTCAGCACAGCCCACACTCCAGGCAAGAAGAATTAGGCTCCTCCACCAAAGGAAAGAGACAACAGCAACAAGAGTAGCCAAGATTTGTGGGCAACTTTTGGAAACACCGCAGCTGGCTCTGGCACACATTTTCTAACCGAGGAGGTGTTAGGAGCAGATTTTATTAAAATATATGTCTGGTTAGTCCATAGAGCTCCTCATAAACTGGTTCTTAGAGCTGGGTGACTGTAGCTCTTTTTTGCCTTCATGAGATATATTTAATAGTTATTAAAGAACTGAACAAAGGGAAATGGTGAATATATGCATCAAATGTGCCGCATCCCATTTGCAGATACTGCTGTAGACACTATATTCATAATGAGCCAGGATGTATATTGAAAAAGTGATAGTAAGAAAGATAGACAAAAAGGAAGAAAAAAGAACATAGAGTATAATGGGATAAATGTGTGGGTAGGCATCACAATTTGGATATACAGACAAGGGGGCACCTTACCTAGCTCAGATGATCCAGGGAGCTTTCTGGAGTAGCGACTTCCACGTGTTAACCCTGCCGGCACCAGGACTCAAATGTTGTGAGCAAGGAAAGACCTCACTGCTCTTTTTGCCTTTCAGAATGTTGCTGAAGCACAGTGCATTGCCAACCAAGTTCAGCTCTTCTACGCCACTGACCGGAAAGAAACCTACGGGTTAGTGGAGACCTTTAACCTCAGACCAAATGAGTTCAAATACATGTCTGTCATCGCAGAATTGGAGCAAAGTGGACTTGCAGCAAAACTGAAATGTGCCCAGAACCAGGATAAGACTTAGAGCTTCTACACGTTGGCTCCACTCAGGGTCTGATTAACCCTGGGTAATTTATAGCCCACCCACTTGAACTACAAAGAACTCAACTTGTAATCCTGAGTGGGCTCTAATGAGTTGTCCTATGTGTTTGCTGCGAGGTGAGCCCTACTTCTTGATATTCAGATCCAAGGTACCCAAACTTTCTGATAATACTTGCCAGCATATCTGAGACTTCCTTTTCAGAGACTGTAGTCAAAGCAAGAGATAGTGAAGGATCTACAGGGTGTTTACTTGGCTTTAATGCACCAGTGCGTGTTGGATGTTGTTCCTTCGGACCTCCCAGCACCCACATGATCAGCCCCTCCGCTGTGTGAACTTGTGGCAGAATAATGAGCTGAGAGTCCTGCTCTAGTTAGATGTGAGCTCTTGTGTCCTCTGCCCTGCCCTCCTTGGCCATCCAAAGATATAACCTGGATATCCTTATTTAGAGTCTAGATAACTAGATGTTCCCATCAGGATAAAGACTTCATCCAGATGTCCCCAGCTTTGCCTTTAGTGTAGCTGGTGTGAGGTGTCAACAGACTTCAGGTATAATTAGATACACGAGTACCGTGCCTGCATGTTATTAAAGCGTATGAAGTGGCGCTTGCTTCTCTAACTCAGCCTGTTAGAAATTGTGTATCTGAAGGGGATATATCAATAGTGTAAATAAATCAACAGCTTTGTAAGGGGAAGATCAATCTCGATTTGCATGATTTTATTTAAAGCAATTCCAAGCAGTGCCATTGTTATATAAAATAGTAGGTGGAAGCAAATGTTCCCAGACTGAGCATGGGGGAAATATAGCAATAAAATCAAGCCTAACTTACGATCATTGTTACACAAAACCGTGAAATCGAAGCCTGTGCTGTCCCAGGTGTGTCAGTCTGTGGGCTGATTTCATCAAGACCAGGCTTGAGACTCAGAACAGATTCTTGAAACGCTGACAATGAGAAAGGAGCTCTCCAGAGTTGGAATCCACGTGTGGTCGGTAATTTCACTGTTGTGACTTCACGCCCAGCGATAGAAAAGGGTGCTGCTTACATCCAGCCTTCTGAACCCAAGGCCCCGGGGCCATCAAATTGTCTGCCACTCCTGTTCGGGGGTAGCATGCTCCTCGTCAAGGGCGCCTCCTGCCTAAGTTCTGGTTGGGACACCACATATGGTGCCTGGGAATTTAACCGGTGTTTGCAGTTTGTGTGTATGTGTGCTTGTTAAGAGAGGAGTTTTAGAGTTGGGGCTGGTCTCCAAGCTCTTTGCATGGAATTGGATTTGCCGTTATATTCTGAGCAGTATCTGTTTTGTTGTATCACTGAGTCTGTGTAGAGAAAGACAGTGTTTCGCCTGGAGAAGCTGCTAACCTTTCACAATTTCTGTAAAGGTTGAGCTGATTGCTGATGAACATTCTGGACCTACCTCTGAACATGGCAGTTCATCTTTTGAGACATTTTGGTCCTATCAGCCGGCAAATGCCGTCTTCCTTAACTGCCCACTGACCGTCCTAATTCTTTTAGGCCATTGCTTTCATGATTATCCAGTTCTCTTTGCTTTTCCCTCCAGATGGAGGGAAACCTCCACCAAAGGGTGAGGAAATGACGAGAAAAGAAGTGGTCATTCATTTCATTATTTGTCCCAGCTTTGCCCTAAATCCCTACGTGCAAAAAAAAATGGGGGGGGGGTGTATCTATAGATAATGACCAGAGTACCTTCTAGCTGTGGTTTATATTTGTTTAGAGAAATCTGGCAAAGAACTGAAAGCCGTGGCTTCAGTGCATTGGTCCCCTGGTCCCAGCACAGTGTTATGGAAAACAGACAGTCCTTAAAGTTAAGTAGATCTTGGTTCAAATGTCAGCATGGCTCTTCATTAGCTCTACAAGGTTGGACAAGTTATATAAACTCGCGTTCTGGGTCTTCACCTGCAACACAGGGATGATAGTGTCTACCTCATAGGACTTTTGTGAGACTCAAATCAACGGAGATTAAAGTAAAGCTCGATCACTGTTAACCTGCTCTTCTCCTATTAAAGACCCACACCGATTAGCCTCTCAGATGTGCAGGTCATCCTTCATTCCACTTCAAAGAGCAACACTTCTCTCACTAGTTCTCCCACTTTAGCTTGCAGTAGAATCACGTCATAGACTTTAAAATGCAGACTCCCAGGCCTCACCCCTCACCTACTGAATCAAAATCTCTAAAGAGTGTGCTGGGAGCCTGCATTTTAATCTGCACTCCAGGTGAGTCTGGTGCGGGTAATTTAGCCAGCCCTCTGAGAATCCTTGCCTTATCTGTTTCACAAGAATGCCCAGTTGGCCAGGTCTTTCTTCCCGGCGGTATCTAGGATTTCAGTTTTACTCTGGACCTCCCATGTGATTGCAGAATCCAACGGCATTGTGTTCATGTATGTCTTCTCTCCCACCAGACTGTGAGCTCCCTGAGAGTCAGGATCTGTCTCTACCCTCCAGTGCCACAGGCATGGCCTGGAACTTAGAAAACTGTTCAACTGTTGGCTGAGTAAATAAATGGCATGAATTTTAGCCAAAACATTATCGAGTTCTTGTATGTGTGGTTATATTTAAATACTCTGGGTTTAAGAGAATCTCTCTTTTTTTTTCATGGTTTTTGTTTATTGTATTTTAGTGTTTATGAATACAAAACTTGGATGACATGCCCTCCACCTCAAAATTTGGTCCACAAAAATATATTGATAGATCCAAAACAAACAACCATATGAATGTGAACGAGGAGGGTCAGAGTGGAGACCCAAAGCCCATCTGTAGACAATTGGATATTCCCTCACAGAAGGGCCACAAGGAAGGGACGAGTCAGCCAGGGTGCAGTACAGCACCAACAACACACAACAACATTCGTCTAATTCCTCAAGGTTCCCACCCACCCTCTATCATGACCCAGTTCTACCTTACAAATCCGGCTAGGCCAAGTACACACATTAGTACAGATAAGAGCTCTCAACACAGGGAATCCAGGACAGATAAACCCTCAGGACCAGTAGTGGGAGTAGCGATTCCATGAGGCGAGGGGGAGGGTGGAGAATCTCTTCACTCACATAGATTCAACATTTGGTTTGCAAATATTCCTGCTAACAAAATACAGAATTCTACACAAAGTATCTATATTTCAGCTAACACACTGGCATTACCTTGGTGAGTTGGCGCGAGTATAATTCTGCAGTTGCTCACAGAGCATTCACTGTGCACCTGCCATGTCAGTGGGAGGCACAGGAAGTAAGCAGGACATAAGCCCTGCCCTCGGGCTCTCGGCTCCCACCTGTCTGGCTTTTGACTGTGCCTCAGAGTCATTTTGCCATGTCTTGTTCTCAGGGTGCTCTTGCTGGAAGTTCTTTCTTCAACCAATTTGGAGATAAGAGCCACATGTTCTGCTTTGTCTTGTTTGTTTTCGCATTGTTTGCAGTACTAACCCTCTGCTCAGTCTTAGAGAAGGGATACAAATGCCTATTCCCCCAATCATTCGATTATTATGCCAGCATCCTTCCATTTATATTTATTGAGCACCTAAGTATCTGCTCACTCATCATTAAAATGAGGAATACAGCAATGAACAGGACAGATAAGGCCCTTGGACTCATGGAGACTAAATTCTTGTGGCTAAAACAAACATAAATCAATAAGAGTATTCCACCTACTGGTGATGCTGTCAAAGGGGCTGCGGAACATAATGTGACAGTTTGTGGAGCAGAGGCAATCATTTAATGGTGAGGACACCTGCCCCTGAAGAGGTAAAACTTGAGCAAAGGTAGAAGTCCCAAGTAAAGGAGGGTGTTAGGCTGGGTTCTCTAGCGAAGCAAAACCCGTGGCTGTGTGTTTGCCGGTGGAGCGGGGCCGGGGGTGGGGTGTGCGCACGCGAAAATCAAACCAGGGCCAAGGGGCACGGTCACAATTGAGAACATAGAGCTAAAAGAGGAGGCCTAGAGAGCTCAAGGAGAGACTGGTACCTGCATTCCGCGGCAAGTTCTCACACAAAGGGATTGATTGCTGACAATGTGTTTGAAGGCAAAACCAAGAAGGAAGAACATTTTCGTCATTTGTCTGTGGTCCAGAGGGGGGAAAATCCACCTACAGAATGCTGTGTTTCAGCGGTTTCTCAGGGAACAGGAGAGACGGTCTTAGTTGAAGGTCAGACCACCCAGGGCCTCAGCAACTTGTGTTGAGCTGTCAGCTGTCTCCCACAGCCTTGCCTACACCGCGCAATGTGGTGGTCCTGTCCCACGGGAAGAAAGAAATGACGCTCGGACTGCCCCGGAAATGCACCCTGTTACTCGGAAGGCTGGGAATTCCTTTCGCAGAGTTCATCTTGACAGTCTGCTCCCACGTGCGTGTATCACACACACATACATAAAGAGAAATTTATATCAAGAAAATGGCCCACATAATGACAGAGTGGCTAAGTCCAGTTCAAGTTCATGGAGGCTTCTGGCTCGAGGCTTCAGGGTCTGACGAAGCAAGAAAATGAATCAGGAAGACCACAGGCTGGTTGATGCTGAGGTGAATGAACCCAAGGTCAGCAGGTCAGGCTTGTGGCTGCAGAGTCGAAGGAATCCAAGGTCGGCAGGTCAGATGTGAGGCAATATGGCAGGCGGTTGGCTCAAGTTCAAAGAACCAGAGGTCAGAGAGCCAGCTACAGGATCCACACCCAGGAAGAAGCAAGCTAGCCTCCCCACTTAGTTAGGAATTAGACCACACCTCCAAGAAACGTCCTTTTCACTTGCTTCCGGGCTGTGACCTGCACTCCAGCCCTCCATCCTAATCTCGCAACTGATTGCGTGCCCCCGGCCGATCCCATTACGGAGTTGATTGCATTGGTTTGTTGGGGTTTTTTTGGTAAAAGTTTTCATTTTATTATTTTTTTTATTGGGAGGCTCGCACAGCTCTTATCACAATCCATACATATATCCATTTTGTCAAACACATCTGTACATATGTTATCATCATCTTTCTCATGAGCCCCTGGCACCAGCTCCTCGTTTTTTACCCCTCCCTCCCCTATGCTCCCATGATATTTTATAAAAGATTCTTTTTTTTACCCCCCTGTCTTACACCAACTGCTGTCTCATTTCACCCACTTTTCTGCTGTCCATCCCCCTGGGATGGGGGTCATACATCAATCATTGTGGTTGGTTCCCCATACTCCAGCCCCTCACCCTTATCCTAGTATCACTGTCCCCTATTGGTCCTGAGGGGTTTATCTGTAAGACAGAAAAAAGGAAAAGAAAAAGAATTGTTCTGGATTACATTGTATTCTGTAACACGTGCGGTTACCCTGTTTTAACTGCCAACCCACTTAGAATCCTGACCCAGCCAAGTTGACAAAACCTAACTGTCACAAGGGGCACAGCAAGTACAAAAGCTGTGAGGCAGGCCCAAGCGATGCGTGCTGTGTCTGGGCAGCTTTAAAGGTTCCTTCTTACCCTGGAGAAACCTGCAGTTCAGCGAGGCAAAGTTCCAGTAGAAGGCAACTGACTGGTGCCATCTCTGAGGAGGGACCCAGGAAGGGAGGGGACCATACTATGTGCCCTGGTGGATGTGATGCTTGCCAGGCTGCGGTGCCTGCTCATGAAAAAGATGCAACTTACTAGCAAATAATGAACCGTGCTAAAGCCTCAACAGATAGTGTCCCATGCAGGTTGGGAGTAGGCTTCACAATATACACATGTTAATCATCACAAACATTTACTAAGGGGTTGCCATATGCCGGGCACTGGGCTAAGCTCATGACGTGGATGGTCTCGCGGAGTCCTTCCAACACCCCTGTGAGGTCAGGAAGAATCTGATTGGTGAGACCTGTGCTCGACGCAGCCCTGCTCTGCCCCTGCTCTCGGTCTGTACCCCAGCTCCCAAGCCTTACAAAGACACACTTTCCGAACTAGCCCTTGCTCTGAGAGACGCGTCTGCCCATTTTCCTTCTGGCAATTAGAGAACAGAATAGATGATTCGCCCATTTCTGATGCCTCCAAACATTCATTCGAAAGGCATCACATTCTAGTTAGGAAAGGTGGCTGTGCTCTGTGTTTTATGCCGCCGGAGCACGTGGGTCGTGGCAACTCTGCTGGAATGAGCCGGTGGGTTGCGTCCATGTTTTTATCACTGTCCTGTCAAGGGAAAGACCTGGGACACCCAAAGGGGAGAGATGGCTTGATGAAGGCTGCTACTTGCATCGGGAGCCAGGTCAGCAATAGGAGGCAACTTTAAGTTCTAAACTTCATAGAACCAAGTATACTAACTACACGGGCCCATCCCTCACGTTCACTCCAACAGCTATGTCTGTGCTCTTCAGGCCTCGGGAATTTGGGGTACCAGCAAAGTTGGTTCAAACCACTTATGGGTTGTCAGAGCACTCGGGTTAGGACAAAACCGGAACCTTTTCATCAGCTCACAAGAGCTTCAGGTAACGTCTCATGCTAGCACACACACCCCTTCCCCCCTCTCAGTTCTAGGCATCTGGATGACCGGCAATAGTTACCTGAAAATGCTGGGCTCTTCCTATCTCTGTTGCTACCTTTTCAGTTATTTTGGTCTGTCCCACGCGCCCATCCCCGTTCATCAAGCTAAGGCTCATTTGCCCTTCAAAGATCTCCTGGAACATCTCTGCTGGAAGCATTCTGACAGCTACTTGGCTCTCCCCACTGCTCTTGCTGGGGCCACGCGCCCTTCTCAATTTCCGTAACATCTTGTGCTAAGGCTTAGGGAAGCACCCAGGCTGTCTTCCCCACAGGACTGGACACTCTTTGGAGACAAGAGCCCTCTCTTATCAGACACTATGTTCCCAGTGTGCAGCATGAAGCCCAGCAGAGAGATGAGATATTTAACTCAGACCACATCTGTCCCCAAGCATCCCTTCCTTACACAACCTGATCCAGCCTGGCAAACCCATGATGATTACGTCTCAGCCCGAAGCAGTGGTTATTTTACTTGCTCTCAAATGCCATCTTCCCATGATCTGTTTCCAAACTTTTAATTTAATTTATTTATTTTTAATGAGGAATTTTAAAATTTGGGGGCTCTATATGTATCCCTATTCTCTTCCATCAGGCTGGTTTTAGCCCACTGTTCTCACATTGTGACTTGAATCTTGACTCTGTTGCCCAGAACTTGTATCACTCCCCACAGATGGGATTTTTATTTCTTTTACTTCTACATCTGCCATGACCGTAACCAGAGGAACTTGATTCCTTTGAAGGAAAATGGTACCCCATCAAGCTCTTGTTCCCCTAAAGAAAAGTAAAACACTGAGACGTCGCACAGGGCAAGATATGACAAAATAATAATTTATAAATTATCAAGGGTTCGTGAGGGAGGGGGAAGAGGGAGGGAGGGGAAAAATGAGCTGATGCCAGGGGCTTAAGTGGAGAGCAAATGTTTTGAGAATGATGAGGGCAATGAATGTACAAATGTGCTTTACACAATTGATGTGTGTATGGATTGTGATAAGAGTTGTATGAACCCCTAATAAAATGATTTGAAGAAAAAAAAAAGAAAAAACACCCTGTCTTGTGGCATGGTAAAACATGACT